CAACTCTTCTTCCCATTTTCTTTTTATTTGGATGATGAAAGTACCTTTTAGTACTTGCAGTTTTGCAAGATCTGACCCTGCCTAACATTTTCTGTTCTCACTTTCTTCATATATTTTCTGACATCTGACGGTTTTCCTTGCATATTAGTTTCATGTTCCACCCTACAAGCTTTCGGCATAGTCCAGATATACTCTCTGAGGTGACTGCTCATCTAGTTAGAAATGGAGTCCTTTGTTATAAAAGGTTTTTCCACATGTTTGAAGATGCAAGTTTTTCACAGTCCACAGCCAGTCTTTTTCTTATAGGAATTCTTACACTTTTTTCAGTCTTCATTATTTCCTTATTTTCTGATGTTTTAAAGTGAAATTCTGATTTATTTATGTTTAGCATTTATTTGTGTTACAGACATTTTAAAAAATGGAATGAATGTGTCATCACATTGAGATACAGCTTTCTTGGCCAACTATTCAGTAAGGTTTTGTACCTCACTTTTCTTGTGTTGTGTTTCTCATTCTCACATACCTGGGTCTACCCCTTATTGATGGAATTTATTTTCTGGGAACTTGAAATTTCACCTCATATTTTTCATAGTGATTTTAACTGCTTACTTACTATCATAATTATTTACATATTAAATAATGCAGAAATTTATATAAAACCAATAGGACCCTACTAAAACCTTTCTGAAAAGAATCTGAAACCAATAACAAAACTTTTGTGCTTTCTCTAATTTTCTTACAGTTATCACATACTTTGTTTATACTTTATCACATCAATATTTTTGCCCTGAGGAGGACCATATTGGTACATGGGGATGTGGGAAAAAAGCAAGAAGAGGATTACTGTGTTAAACTGACATGCAAATGTACTGCATCATCTATGTGACAGGGAAGATGCAGTGAGTTACTCAAACTATTGGAGGCAGTTCTATGGCCTTCTACACTTCTATATAGTCCTCTCACAAAAATTTTCAGTCAGAATATTGCCATTGCTTTAAAATTCAAAAAAAATCCAAATGGCACAATTAGTATATTTTAGAAGATGGTAAAGGTGAAAATCACACATGTAATCTTACAAATTTATATGAGTTAAATTCCTGATAGTTTCTTTCAGTTGTATGCAAGGATCTTCCACTAATTCTCTCAGTTTAATTAGTTTAATTTCTTTGCATTTTCTTGTTAAATAAAGCCAAAAAAATGCTCTGTATAACTACTCTCATGGAGGTCTTTTATTCATTTTCTTTAAACAGAACGTGCATTTGAAATGAAATTATTTTTTTCCTTTATGCATCATATGTTAGGTTAGTGCTGAGAGAGGTTAATGCTGCTGGACCACTGATATACAGTGGCTTCTGTCTTTGTCATTTAGACATGGGAATTGGAAAATGAGTCCTCTTTTTATTAGAGTATGTCTTCTTCACCAGCAGGCATCAAACTGCTAAATCACGAGAGTTCCTACCATAGAGAATGAAAAGTCATTGTGATAAGTAATTTTTAAAAGAATGGAAAATGGTTATATTTTGTCTTTAGTTATTAGTTATATTACAAATTTTAAGCAATTCAAATGATAGAGGGTTATCATGCCATGTATAGAACCACAAAACGGTTTGGGTTGGAAGGGACATTAAAGATCACACAGTTCCAAACCCCGTGCCATGGACAGGGACACTTTTCACTAGACCAGGTTGTTCAAAGCTGCATTCGACTTTGCCTTGAATGCTGCCAGGGATGGGGCATCTACCACCTCTCTGGGCAACAAGTTCCAATGCCTTACCACTCTCACAGTGAAGAATTTCTTTCTAATATCTAATCTAAACACTTTGTTTTGGTTCTTTAAGATACTTCACACTTAACAAATAATCATAAGTAAATATAGTCCTATAAGTATCAAAATATATCACACTGTCAATATTGTGTCAATATTTAAAGAAAAAAAAATAATTTTTGCAGCAGCAGCAATGTAGAGTGTAGGTAGGCGGGTGGGAATGGGCTAGAGAAATCAATAGCCAGAGGAGACTTCATGAAGAAGGATATGCACCTCTGTCATGGTTTGAGAACCCTAAAATCCAATTCCCTAGTCCAAGCCCCCCCTCCCTCATCTCAACCCAGTGTGAGATGGGTTTTCCAGACACCACACAAGACTCAAAATGGGGGGAAGGGATTATATATTACAGTGACTGTAAAAAATAAATATTACAATACATTACACACACAATCTAGGCTATCTACAATGACAAAACAGTATTTACAATGGATCAAACCTCTTCTCCCTTCCAAATAAAAGTCCAGGAGGGAAGAAGGAAGAGATCCTTTCCACTCTCAGAGCAGCAATGTCTCTAGGGCAGCAGGCTGTCTTCTCTCATGCAGCAGCTGTAGCTGGATCTCTGCCAGTACACACGAGGGGGTATCCAAGCCCCTCAGCCCTTCGTCTCCAAGCGAGGGTCTTCTCTTCCGTGGGCTGTGTTCACCCAGACAAAGGTCACTTCACCACGTCGTATCAATGAAGTACAGAAGCCTTCATGATGGTCTGTATCTTCAGAGGATTCAAGCCCCCTTTGCAGAGCTCCCATGCTCTGACTCAAAACTGCCAGCTTGGCAGTAGCAGCGGGGGGACCAAGGTCACCCCCTCCACATTCTTTCTCTGAGCTTTTCAGCTCCTTTCTGCAGTGCTATAGCACTCCAAGACTCTTTCAAGTAGGAGTCCATCATCCTCCTCTCTCTAGGAGGGGTCTCCAAGGCGTTTGGGGGGTTTTGGTTCAGTTCTTACCCCAGCTCTCTCTCTCCCTGTAGAGCTTAGTTCTGCTCTCTCTGCTGCTGGCTCTCTTTCTCTCGGACAACTCTGTGTCTCTCTTACTCGGTTGCATGCTTGTTTGCTGCTTCTCTCTAATCTCTTCTGGTTCTCTGCCACATTTCCTTGGTCAGTGTTGTTCTGCTGCTGCTGCTGCTGCTGCTCACGGTGGAGAAACTTACTTCAGCTTTCTAGCTACAGGTACCTAGCCCAGTTTAACACTGTCCCAAGTCCCTGTAGCCCCCCAGCTTGCGGCTGGTGGGGGGGCTCAGCCCCCAGTGGGGCTGAGGGCCCCTCAACTCGTGGCTTCCACAACATGGCCACCTCTCCAACAACAACTACAACTACTTTCTTTTCCGGTCTAAGTGTGATATGTTTATATTTTGCAGAAGCGCTCATTGGCTCAAACCTCAAGGGTCACCACCCCCTGGGGGTCTACCATTTTATAACTTCAGGGGGAAAAATGTTTTCCCCCACCACAACCTCTCAGTAAGGGTAGGAGCTGCAGCTGCTGCTCCATAGGAGAGATACTGCTTGCTGCTATAGCTGTGCCCCCTCACATTCCTTTCCAGAGCTTCTACCAATATAGCTAAATCAGAGTCTTCAGGCTTCCATTTCTAGCCATTCTTTGCCTACTGCTGGGCAAGGAGGTGAATGGAATCTTTGCACTTGGAGTTTTGTTGTGGTAATAACAGTTAAGAGTAGACAAACATGGGAATGAGAGAGAGGGTAAAGTAGTAAGAAAGCCCATTGTTCATGAAGGATGTTTTAGTTCTATATACCCTCTTAAAATAAGAATTTATATGCAGACCTATCAAAATTACATACAATATATTTATCATGTTCCCTCATATTTAAGGTCATTTTAAGGTCATATTTAAATCATATGCATAGAATCATGTAATGGTTTGGGTTGGAAGGGACCTCAAAGATCATCTAGTTCCAAACCCCCTGCCATGGGCAGGTACACCTTTCACTAGACCAGGTTGATCAGAGCCCCATCGAGCTTGGCCTTGAATGCTTCCAGGAATGGGGCAGCCACAGCTTCTCTGGGCAACCTGTGCCAGTTCCTCAACACCCTGACAGCAAAATATTTTTTCCTAATATCTAATCTAAACCTACTCTCTTTCAAAGTCATTGCCCCTTGTCCTATCAATACATGCCCTTGTAAAAAGTCTCCAGCTTTCTTGTAGGCTCCCTTCAGGTCATCCCAAAGCCTTCTCTTCTCCAGGCTGAACAATCCCAATTCTCTCAGCCTCTCCTCGTAGGAGAAGTGCATCCAGTGATCTTGGTGGCCCTTCTCTGATCTTGCTCCAACAGGTCGATGTCTTTCCTGTGCTGGAGACCCCAGAGCTGGTTGCAGCACACCAGGTGTGTTGTGAGTGGAGTGGAGTGGAGTACTCCACCAAGAGTGGAGTAGAGGGGCAGAATCCCATCCCTCAACCTGCTGGCCATACTGCTTTTAAAGCACTAACAAGTTCTTCTCAGCAGAGTTGCTCTTGATCTGTTCATCCCCAACCTGTATTGATACTGGGGGTTACCCCAAGCCAGGTGCAGGACCTCGCGCTTGGTCTTGTTAAACTCCATGTGATTCCCATGGGCCCACTTCTCAAGCTTGTCCAGATCCCTTTGTATGGCATCCCGTCCTTCAGGTGTGTCGACCTCACCACTAAGCTTGGTGTCATCAGCAAATTTGCTGAAGGTGCATTCGATCCCTTTATCTACGTCATTGATGAAGATATTAACTAACACTGGCCCCAATTCGGACCCCTGAGGGACACCACCTGTCACTGATGTCCATTGGGACTCTGAGCCATTTACCACTACCCTCGGGATGCAACTGTCCGACCAATTCTTTATCCACCTAACAGTCCACCCATCCAAACCATCTCTCTCTGATTTAGAGAGAAAGATATTGGGATGGGCTGTGTCAAAGGTTTTACGGAAGTTGAGATAAATGACACCTGTAGCCCTTCCTTTGTCCATTGATTTAGTCACTCCATTGTAGGCAGGACTTGTCCTTGGTGGAGCCATGCTGGCTGTCTTGATTCATCTCCCTTCTGTTTTTAATTGCATGTGAACTATGTTAATTTGTTAGTCATGATGATTTAAAAATGGAATTGATGGAATCTATTTTGAAAGCTGGATAAGAAAATATCACTTTCTGAATGAAAAAAAAAGGACTTGACACACTCTTTTCTTCCTTTGCTAGGACATGGAAAGTGTGACTGTGGGAAGTGCAAATGTGATGAAGGCTGGTATGGTGAAGCCTGTCAGTATCCAACTACTTGCAATCTTACACGGAGAAAAAGCAATGAAATGTGCAAGAATTCTCAAGATATCATCTGTTCTGGTGCAGGTAAGATGTCTTTTGTTGCTTTTGATGGTTTGATGCTCTCAGTGTTATCTTGAGAATCATCGTAATTTCTTTTCTAACAATTTTGTAGAGTATGTTTCAAAAGACTGAGAAATAACTGTGTGCATACTGAAGTGTTTCACTTTCCTATTTCTATGCATATAATGTACACTGATTCAGAATACCTACTTTAGTACTCTATCCATAGCTGTTTTAGGTTGGTGAAACTGCAGCTGTGTCATGTATTTTGCTCATCAAAATGTTGTGATAATGGGATTAACTCAAGAAGTGATGCAATTTCTTATTTGTGTTTGTGTTTGCAGTGTGCAAAAATGGCATTTACAAATATCTTTCCGAGGTGTTTATAAGCTGTACAATTTTTTGAGACGCTTTTGAATTGTAACAGTGATTCTTAAAATCAGTTGTAGAAAACCTTCTGAATAATTTTAAAGGGGTACTTTCATTTTCAATTTTCTGATTTGGTAACATTTTTTTCTCTAATTGTTTAATTTAATAACCAACCTAACTAAAATAGAGAGTCCTTTCCTTAAAAAAAAAACAAAAACAAACCCAACACCCCCCCAAAAAAAAGTCAGAAAACCAAACAACGTTTAGAAGACTTCACTGCAGAATAGTAGAATTTTGAAGAGCATTTGCTACCAGTCAAGGTTTGAGACCAGAAATTACCTTCCAGTTTTTCCGTGATATTGATCACTCAATGAGTGTTTCAAGAACCTCACTTCTGCTCACTATTCCTGGCCTTTAATTTCTCTCTGGGTCCATAAATTTTCATACAACGAATTTTCTCACAAGTTAGCTGCTGGCATGAGCAAAGAACCCAAAGGATTTGTGGGACTTGTTACAGAGAAGTTAGCCCTCACAGCAGGATGTGAAGCCAATTTAACATAAAACTTCTAGCATGTGGCATGCTGAGTAAATGATACATTTCATTTATGACAATAATATAGATTATATGAAACTCACAATTGAGAGACAGATGAGAGACAGCTAAATGAGAAACTGACTCTCAAAAATAAGTATAGTTCACTGTTATAAGTCAAAGTTCTTAAAAAAACCCTCTTTCTTTCCTTGGCTAGAAGTGGCCCCATTCTTCACAGAAAAAACAGTGTAGCTGAACAACCACTATAAGTAAGGGAGTGCTTGTGAATAAATGCTTTTGGTTTTGCTGATATTAAACAGGATAGGAATGCTGATATTAAACAGGACAGGATGAGACAGGCTTAGGAATTTGGGGTAACTTTGGCTGTAGTCATACGTATTTTCTCTTGGTAGGATTGTCTTTTGATCTATGACTAGCATTGATCTTCGAGTCTGAGCTGTTTTTTAATTGGCAATAAAAGATGGGAAGGGATGACATGAATTGTTACAAAAACAGTCCTCTGCAATCACACAAATAATTATTTATTGTAATACTTTTCATTAATCAATCAGGATCCACCTAAAATTTCACTTTTCTGATTTAACTGTTCCTAATAATTTGTCAGAATGGGGATTATCTGTAAACATAACAGTTTTCTTAAAATTTTGATTTGTATTTGTTTCCTGAGTAATTATAGCAAATAACTTGAGTTCTGTAGGTTACTTATGTTGTTTATCAGTTGTATTATTATTATCTTATTATATTAGCTCTTGAAAATATTTTTTTGAATGTCTGCCTAATATTTCTGTTCTTTAAATTAATATGTTTAGTAAAAGTTGTGCTGTACTTGTAGAGGTAAAATGTAAACTGGTTTCTACAAACTAGTGGTGTAACATCAGCATAAAAGTTCTATTTTGGAGGAATTCTTTGATGTCAATAACCATGTTTTCTAAAATACGTATGGGTGTAACATGAGAAATATGAATCCTGTGAAGTTCATTTTTTCATACCTTCTGCCATAGTGATATCATTGACTGCTGAAACAACCTGTGCAAGCCTACTGACCACAGGGCCCCAATAACATGGTATTGCACAAAATTCCTAGCCTTGCAATTTTGATAAAGGTGAGAGAGGTAGAGAAAAGGGATGTCGTATATGACCAGCATGGTAATACTTTTGTTTCTAATATGATTTTAATGTATTTTTGCCCATTTTTTGACTGTACAACTCATTAATATGTTTATTTGTGAGCTTGGGTCAGACAAACCCGTTGAGGAAAAAAGGGGGATTCTTCTTTCCCTAGGACCAACAAAATGAACTTTTCCTGTTTGGGACGACATGTCATGGAGAGAGGCAGCCACTGAGGTGAGGGGGCAACCCTGTTCAAAAGACCAAGAAACAACTGTGGGACCAGACCAAAGGCGATATAAGAGATCTGTTTACAAACCCATTTCCCTCCTTTGCCTTCTCTGAGCACTCTGGCTTTTCATTATGTCAGAAAGTTTTCTTTTGTAGTTTATGGTGTGGGAAAAAACAACTCTACCCTTCCAAAGCACATGAATGTTGTATCTCATTACAGCTAAGATTAGACTTTTTGATGATATGGATTGTTTCTGTGTCTGTCTTTATTTGATTGGATGATCTTAAGATTTCAGCCTTCTCAGACATAAAATATGTACTATCTCTGATGGACTAATGAAGCTCTTTCTATAAACTGCAGTCACTGAGTACTGTCTTAAATGTTTACAGGCACGTGTCAGTGTGGCAGATGTAAATGTGCAAACTCAGAAGGAAATGGACTGGTGTATGGCAAATTTTGTGAATGTGATGATAGAGAATGTGTAGATGATGAAACAGGAGAGATTTGTACAGGTATGTATTTTAACGAGTGCAAAAAATAGTGAAAATTAATACAGGCTGTTATAATTTGATTTTGTGGTCCTAAAAATAACTTTACTGAATGCATGACTTAAAATAAAAGTAACTGTATTTACAAGAATTTAGTTTGCAAATTGTAAGTGGAAATTTCAGATACAAAAATGAACTAAGAATAAGGTTAAAGAATGAATAAATCCTGTGACATCCTCCTTTTTTTGGAAGAACTGCAAAGAGGATTGCATAAGATAATTCACTAAGGTAATTCAAAACTCAGTGTGTCTGTCTTCAGTACAATATAAGAAATGTGAACGCTTTGTGGCACAAATGAGAGCAGGATGGAGGACATAGGAGAAAACAAAACAAAGCAAAACAAAAAGTAGAATATTAAGAACTTTGAAAAGGAAGTAAAAATTAAAAATAGCAAGAATAAATGTAAGAGAGAAAGGGATGAATGAATGAAAAAAAATCATCTGTGATAGGAAAGACAGGAAAATCAGATGGAATGAACTCTGCTGATAGATAGAAATGCAACCAAAATTCAAACCGTGTTTTCATTTCAACATAAGGTAGGAACTGGGCAACTAAATTTTAAATACCCACCATTTATGGCATTATAAATGCTGTTGCCTACATTGCTAGGGAGGCTTGCCCTTGAGCTGGAAGGTGCTACAAATACTGTCCAAGCCATACACATGCATACTGTGTCCGTATGCATGCAAGTGTTCTGATCTGCTCTTAGACTATTCATATCTAATGATGTGTCTGTGTATAAAAAGAGAGAGAGTACTTGTGTAAAATAGCTTTCCCTGTCTTTTCCTTACACAAAGAGCAAAATAAATTCTATTAATTTAAGTGCCTTTGAAGGCAAAAAGAACTTTCTATTTTGCATAGGATCTTGCAACAATTACATATGGTACCAAATATGATAAAAAAATTATCATTTGTTTGGTTCCAGTAAATTCTCTTTCCACTGTTTTTGTTTGTATTTTTCCTCCACCTGTTTTGCTGCTGGTTTATATTAAGTTTTTCTTAGCTTTTATTTCCCCTTGTTTCATCCAATCATTCCATATTTCAGAAAAGACCAGATGCATCTGTGTGAAAAACTAGTTTTATGTGTATGGAGAAATCAAAGTATGCTGATAAAAAAGGACAAACTGTGGGTAGATTCAAGTCTCTGCAGTTGGTGATTGATCAGCATAAAAGTCATGATACCTCATTTAAGATTTGGAGCCTTCTAAAGTATAGGTATAAACTAATGGTTTACTTGACTTGGTTGGGTTATACTGTAAGCTGAAGAGGTTATGCAGGTAGGCTATGAGTGTTACATTTTACTTTGCTTTCTAACAAACCTCTACAGTACAAAACCATGTTGAACCAGGTTTTATGCAGAAAAAATGCACAGCAGGTGAACTGAAGATCAAAGGTACATAATTTCATCAACTGGGAGCTGGGATTTTATCCTGGGAAAGCATACCATGTCATGCTGAGATATGGATAACATGTATTTTTATTTTTGCAAAAGGGCACTGCATTTTTTAGAACTGCAAATCAGTTCTTAGGTAGAGCAAAGTTGCAAAGATGTGTTAAACCTCAGTTGGATTTCTATCAATCAGTTGTCTGCAACACTTTTTATTAAAGGTAACATAAATTTTGGAATCAAGTTATAGCTTATTTTTAATAAAGTATCCTGGTTTCTAGCAATTTAAATTCTGATCCCCATCTTTATTTTCTTTTTGTAAGACTTTTTGGCTCTCACTGAATGATTTTTTTCTTCTGTCAAGAGAAAGTGATAGTGGCAAATTTTATCATTTAATTCATACTTATTTGAGGAGTATAAAAGTGTGAACGAAGCATGAAGTTCTGATATTTTAATCTGTAAAAACTGCCAGTATATGAAATTTATTTACTCCTTCACCATCTTCCCTGTTATTTCTTGCCCACTGTTCAAAAACAACCTTTTGGTAATAAGAATTATTTTAGATTATCTTTTCTGCTTAATTCTCTAATTAAATTAATTGGTTTTGACATGTAACCAAACAATCATAATGAAAATTCCATGTGTAGTTGCAAAAACAGGAAAAATTTTATTGAACTATTTGCAATCTTGATAGTTAAAAATATGCATTGACCTGATTTTCATAGAGATGACCAGATCTACTAAACTTAAGGGAAGGAAGAACAAGATCCTGACTTGATCCTTCTAGTAAAGAATTAATTTATGGCTTTAAGATTAGTAAGAGTTGCAACTACTTAGTTTGAATTCTTTGAGCCACTGAAGCACATGGCACAAGTACCTTAGCAGATCAAAATGTTCAAGAGCTGGTTTCATCAAGTCAGAGTTGATGCAAATATCTTTTTTGAGATATGTATGACTTGTTAAATGAACATCTGAAAGATTTGTTTTGCTAATAATTATTTTTAATGAACCGGTTTATTCGTGTTCTAAAATCTTCTTGACAGGTAAGAAGAGTAGCCATACACAGTGTAGGCAATGTGTAATAAATCAAGGTCCCCTTTCTGGAACTATCTGAGGAGTCAAGAACATACAATGCTTTCTTAGACATGCTGAGTATGATGGGCACTTGTGTCCTACCTTAATATGTAAAGCTGTGCTTAAATTTTAACTGTTACACTTACCATCTTCGAAATTGATCTATAAAGTTGAGCTTACAAATATAAAAATGTTGATTATAATTAGTGGTTATTGATTAGATTTAATCTGTGATTAAATGAAAACCTGTTCTAAAGCAGCGGAGAAAACTATAATTGAGATATCCTTTGTCTTATTTTATGTAGTCGTATATGGTTTATAAATTGTTTCTATTCTGAGTCTAGCTCTAGAAATTTTTAAAAGAAAAGATCAAAACAGTTAAATTGTTAATGCCTTTTAAAAACTTGCCTTTTTCTCACTGTATGAAATTTGTTTTGGCTTAAGGCCATGGAAAGTGTTACTGTGGAAACTGTTACTGTGAGGCTGGTTGGCATGGAGATAAATGTGAATTCCAGTGTGACATCACCCCCTGGGAGATCAAGAAAAGATGCACATCTCCAGATGGCAAAATCTGCAGCAACAGAGGTGTGTCATTCGCACGGTCCTTCTATGCATATTTATATAACTTGCTTTTATTTTGCTCTATGCATTTGCTACAGTATGACACTGTGTTTGCTGATAGTTTCTAGTTTGTTCTCAGCTATTTCAGGTCTGGATATACATTTCCAAGTGAGTGGGCAGATACCTGTGTTTAAGTATAAACTTAAACAGATCCACATCCATTTCTTGATTAAGCAAACCTAAGTTGGTCTCATCTTTTAGTTTCGTAGTAAGACTGAGCAGGATAATTTGTAGTAAAAAAAAACCTGTGAAGTGTTCAGTAACAATGGTGAGGAAGGTAGACTTCACAGGATATTTCTAACTACCTGGTGTTTTATTTGCGCAGAGTTTTAGAATTTGAATTTTACCATATACTTCTGTTTAATTTTGCCATTTTGGAAAAAAAAAGAGCATAAAATAAAGTTGTTTTTCACTACTGTGTTTGGCTTCATTGAACAAAGAGTTAAAAAAATATGAGGGATTTTTTTGGCAATAGTCCAGAAATATTACAGTAGAACATAAGCAAAAGTCACATTTCTACTGACAAAACCTGCTGTACTGCAAACATCAAATTATCTTGAGAGAATTTAGAAAATTCTCTTCTCATAATTATGAGAAGAGAAATACAGAGATCATGTAGGCCCATTTAGTCTTGTGACTTTAAGATAAAATTTTTGTGTAGTTCTGGAAATATTAATCAAAGTAGGTTCAGATCAGATACTTTCTTTGCACTGAGAAAGTAATTTCTTGTCAAAGAATTTGTCAAAGCAAGTTTTTGTTAAGATTTGGAATTGTATCGTGTGATTATAACAATTGAAGGAATTGAGTGAGTAGTAAAGCTGGTATTCTGGGTACTTACAACCTCCTATACAAAGGTACATTTGTGGGATATTTCTATATCTTTAGCTTTTCGTGTATTTGTGATTTTATTTTCATAAAACATTTGTAGACTTCTATGACATGAAGTTGCTTTCGAACACAGTATTTTTGCTCCATTTAGTCCTACTTACCCAGGTTTTAGTGTTCATACACCTTGCTGTATAAGTGCAGTTCATCTTGTCAGTCTTGAGACTTGTAAAAATCAAATATTGGGGTTAACCTTGCTGTCTACCCTCCTTCAGTGCTAAGTTGGATAAATTGTCTCTCTCTTTCCCCCCACAACTGTCTAGTCAACCAGCTGAGACCAGATGTGAACCTTTAGATTTTTAAACTTTGGAGAAATGGTGTTTTGCATTTTGATATCCAGGACAGCTGATCCAAATTCACTTTGAAGTTGTTTCTGGGAGGATTAATCACCCTCTGGAGGTGTTTTCTTTTTGGTTTTTTGTTTGTTGGTTGGTTTGGATTTTTTTCTTCTTCAATAATGTCACTGAATTGTGAACGTATAAAAAAATCAGGTGCAAATTTCCTGAGGGCTGCCTTGGTGGCTTTAGCCTTTCCTGCTTCATTTAAGTGTCATGCATACACAATTGTGTAGACCTTACCCTTTTAGAGAAAGTACTCATATATATATGTATTGTTGTCCTCAAATGCATTATATTGTTTAGAGTAATCAATAAGATGACAAAGGTGTTGGCAGAGTAGTAAAAGGTGGAGCTTCTTTGCAGGAAATGAGCTGCATGCATCAGTAAGGTCAGGTTGCTTCTAAGGACCTGTTGGCACCTCAGAAAAAGCAGTGGGTCTGTGGTCCTGAAGCATATTTGTACTTCTGAAGAAGGAAACTGGGTTTTTTTGTTGTTGTTGTTCAGATTTTCCTAAGTGTTCTCAGTATATTAGTAGGATTGTGCCAAATTTGTATTTCTGTCATATTTCATATTTCTTCTTATTGTAAACAACTGGGTGTGGCCCTGAATATTGACTTGGGAAAGTGGATAAATATCCTTTTCAGATAGATCTGTGCTGCAGTTCTTCTTAGGTAAAGAATGACCTCCTAGACATTTTCAGCTGGATTAGAATTTGTATTCCATTGTATTCTTAATATTTATGCTTTAACAACCATTAATTATCTATTGTGCCCAAGCCCAACTCATTTAAACAGAATTGATTTTTATTGTCATTACTGTCAGGGCAAATTACTGTTGATGTCAAAGATTTACGACTGTTCTGCGCACTACATTTTTCTGTTGATTCCTAACAAGTCTCAAACAGCAAAAAGAAACTTGAACAGAAAGCCAATTTGTTTGTATAAAGTATTGCTACTAACTAATCATAGAAGGTTTCAAATCGTAGAAGATGAACACTCGCTCATGATTAACACTTGCAGCTTTGAAACTGCATTCCTGTGAGAGCTAAAAATTCACAAGTGTAAATTCCTGTAATCAAACTACTATTACTTTAAATTGCTCTGTTAATCTTCTATCTCTGTGTATTTTTTTTTCTCTTTCTTAGGCACATGTGTATGTGGGGAATGCACATGCCATGATGTAGACCCAACTGGTGACTGGGGAGATATTCATGGAGATACTTGTGAGTGTGATGAAAGAAACTGCAAAGCAGTGTATGACAGATATTCTGATGACTTCTGTTCAGGTAAGGATTTTATGTAATAGGGACTTTTGTGTAGTTTTATAAAGAGAGCACCCAACTGGTCTGATCTCCCTCTTCTCTAGTGCTCCAGTTCCCATTTTTCTATCTTAAAAAATATACCAAACTTTACTTGTTTTTTCTTGTCGGTTCGGAGTGGATTTTTTAAATTAAAAGGCATAATTCTGTAATTATTTTCTAGGCCATTTAACAAAATTCTGTAAATATTAAATACTTCTAGGTGTCCATCTCTCTTCTAATACTCTTGCATTCAGTATAACCTAGCATAAATTGGATAATGGTTGAAACTTTAAAATATAGATATAACCTTTCTTGGGGAAATTTGAATTTGAAAGTTTGTTAGATTGAATTGTATTTGTTATTTCATGTTATACGGCAGGGAGAGAATAATCAAGAAGAAGAAATTCAAGGAAAAGTAAATAAAGGAGTTAACAAAAAACAGTACCCTGAAAATACAAAATGACATGAGAACAAGTAGAGCATCAATATATGGAAAATATGAATGTGTGGCCCAGCTGCACAATACTGACTGTACATCTTAGACACTTCTACCTTCCTTTTTCTTCTACCTGTGCTTCAGAGCATTATGTTCAAATCGGTTAATACCATCCATCCATCCACCCATGCATCCAAGTTTTTCAGTGTATTTAGATGGATGCTCCACGTATCAACTAACAAAAGCTGAGATTCCGAGTGAGACCTTGCATACAATTTTGTATAGTTACTAATAAAGATGCTAATACTAGGCAAGAGAGAAGGACTTTGATCAATACACGGCATGCAATTTTTACACACAGGAACTCTGCAAAAACAAATGAGTGATTTCAAAGGGACTTGACACATTAGAGGTTGCCAGCTTGAACGCATCCTGCAAAAACCTTATCTGGCCTAATTAATAACAGGAAGAATGCAGTGACGTCAAGGAAACTAGTGATGTGGTATATTCTCCTTCTATTACGAGAATGAAGGATCCATCATTGAAAGACCACAGAAGCTGTCTGTAACAGAGAAAGAAAGCAGAAACCAACATGATACATAAAATTTTCAGCTTTTTCTTTTACTGTTAAAGAAGTGGAATTTTTTTCAACTCTTATGTTAGGGTTTTTTAAATAAATATTGATGAATTACTAGCTAATAAAATGAGTAAAAAAAAGAAAGAAGCTATTCTGAAAACCTTCAGTGAATTAATTCACTAGTTAATGTTTCAGCCACTTGCAAATGTTATATAGGTTTATTTAATGAAAGATCTGGAAGGATGAAGAACTGCAGTCATGAGTGCAACAGGAAGACTTACTTTGGGATGTTGTCAATTTTTGAATGTATCATTGTGTTGCTGTCAATGTTTTTAGCAGTTTGGGACTGATCAAAATATCAGCATCAGCTGAGGAATACAAAGCTACAAATCAACCTGATAAATGTGTTCCATAGTTAAGGGTGAACACAAGAGTTTCAAACCTAATTAAATTGAAGCAAAGCTGTGGCATCTACAGCTAATGCTGCATAACTGAAACACTGATACTTGAACTCCCCCTTTTCTGGATATTATTGCCATTGCAGCTGCTGCTGCCCAGAATGGTAATGGTTGTAAGAAAGCACAGGGTAAGTAAGACAGTTACAGATGAGCTGGGGGAAAGATATTGCCATTTGACACTGGATTAAGGACTGATACAATGTTCTTTATACTGGTATAACTGTAAATGAGCAAAACTGTATGAGAAGACATACAAAATGAGGGACTCATATGGCTTGTTTAGTATAACTAAAACCCATTTTGAAGTATAGCTTAATTTTTCCATCTAGTCATCACAAATTTTAGTGGTAATTATTTTTATCCATTCCCTATTCATTATATTTTAGAAAAGCCTAATTTAACCTTAGCTGGCCATCCAAATATACATTATGCAAAAAAATCCATTTTCACATGAAGCAATGTGAACGTCTTCCAGTCCTGCTGCTTAGTCATATTTCAGAAATAGATAAGAGGCATGAGTACTAATTTTGGTTTATTGTGGTAGACAGACAGAATCTCCAATTAAACCAAAGATTTAATAGTAGAATTGTAACTGGACAACTTACTTGCTGCACAAAGTGTGCATACATTACGTGTGTCTGCAAAATATCCTCATTTTTCTCACAATTATTTCTAAATTGGTTTGGGATGAATCCAAGAGGGATTAGTCAGATTAGAGAAAATAATCCATCTCTCTTAAAACCTTCATGAAACAGAGATGATACAAAATTTTCTTGTCTTATTCTGCCTATCTAATAGCTATAGACAGGAAATCACATTGTCCTGAGTAGCATATTGAAATGATAGGAAGTCAGGTTTTCATGTAAAGAGTTTTACTGTAACTGAATGAAATGCTATGTTTATTTCATAAACTATGAATGACAGGAATTGGCAGCCCTGCTGTGAGAATTTAACATCACACAAGAGCAGCTTCCTCCAGAAGTTTCATATGACTTGAGGAGACTGTCAATTCACAGTACATCATATTGGCAACTAGAGTCCTTTTTTTAACACCTGAAGTGCTATTCAGTATGTTAATGAATTATTTTCTTTCAGAAGTGTTCTCAACATTAAAGTGATTCTCTTCGTTTAAAGAGATAATAGCTTTCATGACTTGACACCAAAAGAAAAAAGGCTTCCACAAGGAAATTCATACATTCACACATCTCATTAGCTCCTTTGCTGTGACTCTAGCAAAGAAACTATTGTATGAAAGAACATAATCCTCTCACAAGTATCTATGTGGATTAGGGAACATAGCTCCAATTTGCAACCTGTTTGCAGGTACACATGAAAGCAAAGGACACAATCATGGAATCACAGAATTATTTGTGTTGGAAGGAACCTTAAAAATCACCTAGTTCCAACCCCAGCCACGGGCAGGGACATCTTCCACTAGACCAGGCTGCTCAAAGCCCCATCCAGCCTAGCCCTGAACACTTTCAGAGATGGGTCATGCACAGATTCTCTGGTCAACCTGTTCCAGAGCCTCACCACCCACCCAGAAAAGATTTTCTTCCCAATATCTTGTCTAAACCTATCCTCTAAACAAGAGGAAGACTTTAATGCTTTTCAAGGAAAATAAATAACTGATGTAAAGAAATATTATTCTTTAACGTTAACTTTAAGACATATTTTGGGAATTACTCTGATGACTCACAGAATGCTTGCTTCCTCCCATTTTCTCCTTTTGAATTGATAAATGGGTACAAGCCATTCTTAAAATGCAAATATGGTTAGAAAGAAACATAAAATCTGTGTTGCTATGTTTTCATGAAGAAAATGGATAGAGAAGTGGACGTTGAAGCAATGCTTTGGTCCTGTGTCCAATGAATGATGACTATGTGAAAATTGTGAGAGTTCTAACCTGCTGTCAGAGGTCATGAAAATATTTGATTTTGTGGCAGGGAAGGTTTTTGCTGATTCTCAAACTTTCCTCAGTGTTCAAGAAATATTTTGTATTGCCAGAATCTCACTGCTTTAGGCAAAGAGTATAAAGAGGGAGAAGAGCAATTTTCTTGTTTTTTCTTGGTCTGGATATGTTTGCATTCATAGAGGAAATAGGCAGGCTCAGGAACAGTCAAGTTAGCCAGTGAGATACCAAAAATCATATCCAACTGCTCTATCGAAATGAGAATTGATTATGTCCAATATTTTATTATTTATACATCAGTTTTTAATAGAAGGCACTGGTTTGAGACTTGGAATTGATGTGACATTGTTTGTCTCTGGGAGATCACATTGATTGCAAGTAGATAAAAGATGGTATTGGTATATTTCATAGAGATTATGCTGCAACTGTGGTAGAAAAAGAAGAACATAAAGGTAAATGAAACTGCTTTATGACACCCTACTTTTCCAAGCAATGGTGAAATATGTATTTGTAATCTCTATTCCACCCATTTGCATGTAGATCATGTGCTGAGTGGCAAAACATGCCTTCAGAAGAAAAGAAAAAAGAAATATGGCTCAAATGGAACGGGAGACCAGTGCTATTTTTGGGGGGGAAAAAAATGTAGATAGAGTGAAATAATTGAATTTTTTGCCAGTCTAGTTATTGAATGAAGCCACAACTTTGATAAAGTTCATCTAATTATGACAGTTTACTACCTCATTAGAATGAAGGTTAATCTTAATTTTATTCAAGGTCATGGACAGTGTAATTGTGGAAGATGTGACTGTAAAGAAGGATGGACTGGGAAAAAGTGTGAGCATCCACGTTCTTGTCCATTGTCTGTTGAGGAAAGTGCTAAGAGATGCCAAGGAAATTCTAATTTACTTTGCTCTGGAAGAGGTAAAAACATTTCTGAAAGAATTTTCATGCTCTTTAAATGTACTTCCATTAAAAGAATTTTAATGATGTCCAGCATTACTAGTACTGAAAAATGTGGCTTATTGTGCATGAATCTCACATACATAACTTGTGAGTTAGGAGAAGGGAGGAGAAGAATCAGAAAGGTCACCTATTTTGCCTGTCATCTTCTGCTTTGTGTTTTATTTTACATATCAATAGTTGTTTTGCAGGTTTTCAAGGATGCTTTGAAAATTGCTGCAGCTAAGTCTTTACTAATGACACATTAAAAATATGAATGTATCCTATGCAGTCTTTGCTACAAAAGCAGCATGACATTTTCAGCCTGTGTAAAATGTTGTGGCACCATTGTGATAAGGACTGGATTTACTCTGCCTAAGAAACTGGGTAATTGAGTACAAGACTGACTCTATAAAATGCAGCTGTGCTTCAGCACAGTTTGCTAGTTGGCCACTGGCTTTTCATTTGAGAAATGTGACGTGACATATTTCTTTGTCACACTGTAGCCTTTTCCAAAGTTTTGACTAAAAAAGTATGCTAAGTCATACATACGCTTGAAATCCAAGCAAAAGAAAATTTTTCTCAAAAGGAAATGGACTTGCTAGTTTTCATCTGTCCCTGTGTGAAATGTGGTTTTCTGCAGATAGAAAAAAGAAAAGGAAATATGAGAGAGTATTGGTAATTGGTAAGTTGTTATGAATTGGTAGGAGTTGTTATTCAGTTGGTAATTGAAGTTGTTATGAATTCTGACCACTTAAGTATTTGCTGGGAAAGGTCTAAAGCTACTCTTGATTTATTGCATTTGACCCTAAATGTCAGTTCATTTGCAATATCTACTTAGTCAAAAATTGTAGGTTGTCCACCCAGGTTAGCTCTGTGGTAATTGTTCTTTTCTCCCCCTGTAAATGTATAGCAGGTCATAACTTAGTAAATGCAGCATTATCAGTATCTTAAAAGAACTGTGTGTTAAGAACATTGTTGCTCATTGTTTATTTTTTCTTAATTAAGACACAGTTTTCAGTGAGATCTCTCTTTTATTGTTAAGAATTTTCAACAGAATTTTTGGCTATGAGTTAGGTGAAAAATGAGCATCTGTAGAGAATTAATTACATTTTATTGTTCTTAATTGCAAGAATGACAACTAACAGAAATGAGGGTTGACTTTTGATTTATTTTAATTTTTTTTAATACTGGCTCACTTTTTTCTGTTGTCATTGGATGCTGAATGTCTCTTCTTTCATCTGCTTCACTAGAAGTTGTGTATGTTGAGAATTTTGAGTCATAAAAAGAAGTTTAATTTGAATAAATATACAGTCTTAGTTATGGAGCATGTGTTCTATTTTATATTTAAAATACTTATATTTTAAATTTTGATTTTTTAAATTAAATATAATGAAAAGAGTAATTTTAACATTTCAAAATTAATGTCAATAGTTTTGACTTTCTGAAAAACACTTATTAATGCTGGCAGTGTTTTTCTGTTGAGATATTAGCACTGAAATAAGTCCCTTTCAGGTGAATTCATTTGACTGAGTGATCTGTCAGTCAAAATTTTCAAAAAAAGTACAAGCAGCTTCTGTTGGAACAAAAAGCTTAATTGATAGTGGCTTTCACTGAACTTTGACTTCTAAACACAAAGAGATCACCAAGGTTTTTGAGGAGTGCAAAAGGCACAGATATGGATTTAGGACATAGCATGATGGACAGCTGCTGTAACAAAAGAATGAGAGATTTTGCATTCCACATTTGAAAAAAGATTTCCATGAAAACTGTAATTTTAAAATGGAAAGTAGTATCTTGTTTTAGTTTTATGAACAATTTTGTTTAGGAAATCGAGAGAGAAAAGAGAAAAGATATTTTAGTCTACTTATCTCTGTTTTACTGGATAGTGTATTTTCTTTTTTTACATTGGATTTCCCTTTCCTCCATTATACTTTGGATATAATACAAAATGTAAAAACGTTGCTGCCTTGCTGAAGTGATTAGTTTTACTTCCTATTAGCATTTAGTTCCTATGAAAAACTGCCACTGGACATGCACATTTAAATTCTTTGTTCCCATTGGAAAATCCAACTACTTGTCATAGCTTTTCATGTGCAGAAGTGTGAAACAAGAAAATGAAACAAAATAAACATTTTCAATCAAGCACAACCTCTTTCAAGTCTTCACGATTGCAAAAAGCCATGTACTTCTAACACCAGCTCCAGTTTTTCTGACATCCATAAAGAGGATTGTGTGACTTGAAAAGGAAAGTCCCGAAAGAAAATGGAAATGTGTAGTAGGTTGACCCCGGCTGGATATCAGGTACCCACTAAAGCCACTCTCTCCCTCCCCTCTGCAACTGGACACAGGAGAGAAAAAAACCAGCAAAGTATTCATGAGTTGAGATAAGAACTGGGAGAGTCAGTTACTGATCACAGGCAAAACAGACTCAAAGTGGGGATATTAATTAAATATTACTGACAGGATCAGAGCAAAAAAGTGAGAAGTAAAATAATCTTAAAAGCACCTTTCCCTCTCCCCTCCTTCCTTCCAAGTTCTACCTCCTCCCCCCCAGTGGTGAAGGGAGACAGGGAATGGGGGTTACGATCAGTTGTTGTTTCTGCCACTGCTCAGGCAGAGGAGTCCTTCCCCTGCTCCCTTGAGGTCCCTCCCACAGGAGATAGTCCTTCACAAACCTCTCTGGCATGAGTCCATCGCACAGGCAACACTTCTTCACAAACTGCTGTCCTGTGGGTCACTTCTCCATGGGTGCAGTCCTTCACGAATGAGCTGTACTGACGTGGGTCCCCCACAGGGGCCACAAGTCCTACCCAGGAAAAACACATTCCAGTGTGGGCTCCTCTCTCCATGGGCTACATCTCCCTGGCAGGACTCTGCTCCGTCTTGGGCCTCCCACGGAGTCACAGCCTCCTTTGGTTATCCACTCACTCCAGCACGGGCTCCACCACAGGCTACAGGTGGGTCTCTGCACCCCGATGGTCCCCCATGGGCTGCAGGGGCACAGCTGCTCCACCATGGTCTGCACCACGGGCTGCAGGGGCCTCAGCTCCTGTGCCTGGAGCACCTCCTGCTCCTCATTCTGCACTGACCTTGGTGTCTACATTGTTGTTCCCATGTTTTCACTCCTCTTTTCCCTGGCTGGAATTTTCATCTGTGCAATAACTTTCCGTTCTTAAATATGTTATCACAGAGGCGTTACTATCATTCTTCATTGGCTTGGCCTTGGCCAGAGGCAGGAAGCCTGTTCTGGAGCCAGCTGGCATTGGCTCCACCAGACAGGGGAAGCTTCTAGCAGCTTCTAACAGAAGCCACCCCTGTAGCCCCCACCCCCCCACTACCAAAACCCAACCACAGAAACCCACTACAAAAATGTTAGCTTTTCTATTTGAACATTATTGTTATGGCAACAACCTTGTATTATTTTTCTCCTGGCTATGACACAAGGACAGTAAGTCCTTGTACAGGTCACGAATCCACTGTGCTGCCAAAGGACTTGAGTACTTAACAGTCTTATTTAATGGGGTCTTTTAGTAAAGCAGTTCATGTATCAAGTACAGAATGCCCAGAGATGCAGATGCATGACTTTATGATTTTGCCACGTATTGTGTTTCCTTGAAGAATGTTTTCAGTTCATCTGTACCTTTTGTTTCTAGATTAGTTAACAGCAGTTGTGTCAGCTGATGTACTCTTCTGCAATCACTTTTATGGTCTTGGATAAAGACACTGAAGGACAAAGCATTTTTAGGATTTTTAATGCCATATAGATAGCAAAATGTGCAGACAGAGAAAGATAGAACTGCTGTAATATCTTCCTGCAATCTCTGTCTAAATTACAACATGCACTCAGATTTTCAGGTGGAGGAGTTTCAAACTTCAGTTACAATACTCTGTTCCCAAGATTAACAAAAGTTTTATTTCCGAGGTGGTATTTTCTTGTTGAAATCTTAAGTATGACTTCCAAATGGGATAATCCTGCATTTAAGCAGTATTAAAAAAAAAACAACAAAAAACATGCTGCCCTAGAAAGCATTAAATAAATAGTCCTTTAAAGCTTTGCCTGGCCATTTTTAGGTTTTTGTACATTTTTCAAATTTTTCTGATAAGGAGTGCTGTGAAACTCGCAATGGTTTAGCTTAAGTCTTTAAAAACTCCAATAATAATTACGGAAGGCGAACCACAAAAAAACCCTAAAAAAACCATACCCAAATCAAATAAAGCACCAAATCTTTTAAATTCCTCTTTAAAAAAAAAGGTTGAGATCTGGATATATTTGCATTAGAGACTTGGAATAATGTGGGCTTGTTAAAAAAAAATATTTAAAATTATATAATATTAACACAAAAATCATGGCAAAATGATACTTTTCATATCAATCTGAGGGACTCAATGTTTCCATCTTTGAACTTTATTTATCTTAATTTTACCTAATTACCTAATTTTACCTTAATTTTGGTAAGGGTCTTAATTTATACTCTATATTTTACTTTCACAGGTAATGATAAATGGAAAAGAGAATGTTAACCTAACCTAACTTTTTTGTTTTTTTAATGATTCAATGACACAATTTGTAATATTAAATACTGTGAGGTTTTTATATATGTTTTCCTCAAATTTTTATTACTTACCTCTTAGATAAATTATGCTACTATGTAGACAGAAATAGAGAAAGCATCAGCAACGGAAACTAAGAGAATTGTCACATGGTACCCAGATTTTGAGAATCCCATGTTCCCTTAACTGTTAGTCATGTAACTTCAGCAAGAGAAAAAAGGTGTGGGAAAAAATAACAGTGAAATAAAACTTTTTTTAATGTTGAAATGTGTCAGGGTTACATAAAATTCTATTAATTTTTTTAGAGAAGTAAAATGATGCTATGAAGAACACAACTTAATTACATAATTCCTGTCTATAAAATGCAATGGATTACAATTTCTCAATCTGCATTTTGCTCTTCTGAGAGCAGATGAAACAGTGAACTT